TCTGGCATTTATTTTCTTTTCACTCCATTTCATTTCATTCCATTTCATTTTACATTTTATCTATTGTAATTAGCTCGCGCTGTATTGCTATGTTTCCCCGCGCGCTTTCCGTTTTTTGCGTTGTTTAAAATCTTACGTGTACTCTACCTTGATAATGGCCGCTTAGGCCGAAAGCTCGGTATTAAAAATATCACTAGTAAACGCAGAGGACTCATTTATTTTTAGAAATTATGCCTGCGTACAAAAAATTCTAAGTACAATATTGTCTACATACACTGGAGAACAAATAAACCTTCTTGGAGAAGCCACTGTCAAAGTAATTTATCTTGAAACTGATTATGCATTGCCTCTTCTTGTTGTGCCTAGAAGTTGGACCGCTTTATTTGGAAGAAACTGGCTAAAGAAAATACCATTGGATTGGAAAAATCTTCCAGGAATTACAAAAGTACATCAGGTCCACGTACCATTTTCTATCACTACTACTGAGAAATCCACTTCACTAGAATCTTTACTACTAAAGCATAACAATTTGTTTGAAGACAAACTAGGATCCTACAAAGGCCCTCCAGTTGATCTAAAKGTGCASTCTCAACCYAAATTCYACAAGGCAAGAACTGTGCCATATGCAAAGAAAGATCAAGTTGAAAAAGCTTTTAACAAGTTAGAAAATGAAGGAGTTTTAGAAAAGGTCTTTACATCCCCTTGTGCAGCTTCAATTGTTATAGTAGGCAAGAGGAACTCTGATGATTTGCGTGTGTGTGGTGATTTTAGCGTCACATACAATTCCTGTGCAGATGTGGAGACTTATCCGTTGCCTAAAATTGATGACATATATGAAGTGCTACGTGGTAGTAAAGTTTTCAGTATTCTTGACATGAGTCAAGCGTACCATCAAATTCCGGTTACTAAAGAATCACAACCATACCTTACAGTGAATACTCACCTGGGTTTGTACTCATTCAAACGATTTCCAAACGGCGTTCATTCTAGTCCTGCAATTTTTCAAAGGATTATGGACACTACTCTTCAAGGAATTGATAATTGTGTTTGCTATATTGATGATATTCATGTTTCTGGTGCTACAGAAGAAGAACATTTACAAACACTTTCAAAGGTTTTTGAAAGACTTGATTCGGCTTGGTTTAAACTGAATCAACAGAAATGCAAGTTTGAGAGATCATCTGTTACATACCTTTGGTACACTATTGATGGCGAAGGTCTGCACCCTACAGAAGAAAAACTTCAAGCTATTCGAGACGCACCAAGACCGAAAGATACAACTTCGCTAAAATCCTTCCTGGCTCTCATAATGTTTTACTCAAGGTTTCTCCAGAATCATTCCACGGTTCTCGCACCACTTAATAAATTGTTGAGAAATGATGTCAAGTGGAATTGGACACATGTAGAGGAGAAAGCATTTCAAAATGCAAAGAAACTGCTTTTAAATTCACCTACACTGGTTCCATATGATGATTCCTTGCCACTTTATCTTGCTTGTGATGCGTCTTCTTGCAGGAGCTGTTCTGTCACATCTGATTGATGGATGTTATCGCCCTATTGCTTTTGCATCTTGCACTTTAACTTCAGCGCAAAAGAATTGCTGACAGCTGCAAAAAGAAGCATTCAGTATAATTTTCGGATTAAAGCGATTTCGTCAGTACGTATATGGTCGCACCTTTACAATTCTAACAGATCACCGTCCACTTCTGGCTTTATTTGCATCAGATCGTCAAGTACCAGCAGTGCATGCTGCAGCAGGACTACATCGCTTGGCTCTTATCCTACAATCTTTCAACTACGAGATACAATACCGCAATACTACTGCACATGTTGATGCAGACTTGATGTCTCGACTTCCTCTACTAAAAACATTGGCTCCAAGAAGCGAGGTGTGGAATGTTTTTTCTTTGAAGATGAAGAGATGTCAATTATTACCAGTGAAATGATAAAGAAGGAAACTGCGGTAAATCCTGTTTACTCAAGAGTTTGTCAGTATACCATTTCAGGATGGCCTTATGTTACTGATCCTTCATACTTTCCGTTCAAATCCAAGCAACACGAGTTGACAGTAGAGCAAGGATGCCTACTTTGGGGAACACGTGTAGTTATACCTCCATACTTACAACTGCAAGCTGTACTTAATGAGTTGCAAGAAACTCATCCTGGAATTACGAAAATGAAGGCACTAGCAAGGTCATATTTATGGTGGCTTAACATTGATAAAGACATAGAGCGAACTGTACAACAAGGTCGTGTGTGCCAGTCAATGCGATCAAATCCGCCTGAAGCACCTGCACACCCTTGGTCGTATCCTACACATCCATGGTCAAGAATTCATATTGATTTTGCTGGACCAGTAGCTGGTTGCATGTATCTTGTTGTTGTGCACGCTTACAGCAAGTATCCAGAAATTGTGAAGATGACAAGTATTACATCTCAAGCTACCGTTGCTGTTCTTCGTGAAATCTTTAGCAGACAACGATTTCCAGAGATGATCGTTTCAGACAATGGTAGTCAATTTACATCAGAAGAATTCAAAAAGTTATGTGCAAGAAATGGAGTAAGACATGGAACTTCTGCTCCTTACAAGCCTGCTACAAACGGGCAGGCAGAACGAGTAGTTCGAGTTCTTAAAACAGACATTCAACTAGCAAATGTAACAAAGGGAGATACTGACATTGTGATTGCACGATATATGCTTGTGTATCGTAATACTCCTCATACAACAACGGGAGAATCACCAGGCATGCTCTTCATGAAGAGAAGGTTACGTACTCACTTAGATTTACTTAGTCCTTCATTAAGGAAACACGTTGAACATAAAAAATCCTACACTGTGGACAGAACATCTCAGAAATCCTTGAGAAAATTCCACGTAGGCGACTCTGTTATGACTCGAAATTATGCCAGAGGAGACAAGTGGATGCATGGAATAGTAATTGAAGTTGTCGGATCAAGACATTATATTGTTGATTTACAGGGCGGAAATGGAAGAGACATATGGATCAAATCATCATGTACAACCAAGGAAAAAGTGAAAATTCTATTGAACAGGAATTTACAAATGCCAGTCAGTACAAGTTCTGGTACGTCACCTACTCATATGGAGACAAATTCAGCTACGGTGTCAACGACAGTCTCTCCTGAAGTACAGGAATCAACAAGAAGTTTGCAAGCTACACCACATACTACTAATCAAATAGTCCAATAAACTAATGATGCTCAACCAAATTCTTCAGTTTAGCCTTAAGCTCAAGAAACTGATACATACGGACGTTATCCAACTGGAGAGCGCAAGCCCTCGAGCTATCTAAAGGATTACAAATGTGACAACAACAATTAACACTTAGATTTAAGTACATTTCAGCAATCGTTCGTTTTTTATTTTGAAATTGTAATCATAATCTCAATTTAGAAGGGAGGATGTTATATGATTGGATTACTTGTGTAATACCAAGGACACGCGCAGTAATTACAGTAAAAGGTTGATTCCACATGCGAATCGTGTTTGGGTCTTTTCTTGACATTTTCTCAAACTTATTTCGAGATACAAACAATGATCTTGTCATGAATATCATCGAGTTGAAACAAATCATATCATTATTGATAATAGCCATTGAGAGACTCCCCAATCCTTTTCTTATACTGTATATTGTGTGCCATTTTTTATTGTTCCATATTTAGAGCATATGTGACTACTTGGAGAAGACGTTGCATATATGGTGGAATGTTTCTTGCTGAAACATTTGTAAGACAGAGAAAAAAGATAGACTACACTATAACATTAGATACCTTTTTACAATATTGGGGAATGGTATTAAATGACTACACTGTGCTTCGTGGATGATAAGCATTAATCAAAAAAAGCAACAAAGTGGAAACATGCAAATAATCTTCAACATGCAGTTGTGCAATTAGCTTATTATTAAAATGAACAACCTAGATGTCTGGTTAGCGGTAAATCATGCATGATCTCGTCACGTAAACACCAAAGCTCAATAGTTTATCACAGATTTAGACCTTTGCATTTAAGTAATGCCCCGAGTAAGAACTAGGGAAGCAAACGGCACAGGAATACAAGAAGGTGCTAATTGCGCATTGTATAATCCATCCATCCCATTGGTTAAAACATGAAAATCTGCTATAATTTCCCAAGTTAGCGAATTTTCTAAAATTATATTTAATGTCGTTTTTCGTTTTCATGAAAGCTTTCTTTAGCTTCAATATTAAGGCAATTCTATGTGGGGAACATTGCAAATTAGAAGCATCTTTTAGCTATTGTTTTGAGTGTTTATGATTGGATAAGAGCTTTTAATACAAAAGAAACTTTGTTTCAAAAAAGAGTTTATCCACATTTTATTTCAAAAATGTGTTACCCACAAATGGATACATAATCAGTGTGAAAACCAAGACATTCGTACATGGGGAACTTGCTATGCCDCASAACAATAGAGAGCTCCCTAGTTCTTACGCGCATTGTTACTTAAAACAATGAAGTATTACAGCAAAACGTGACTGAGAAACAAAATCAGCATATTTTCATTTTTCTTGGCAATAACACCTATCAAATTGTGTTCTATTGCTCATATTTTCCTTAATTGGCCGCTGCGAAACAAGTTGAGAACTGTTTACAAGTTTCATATCGAATTGTATATTAAATACAAGTTTGGAGACTGGCCTCAAAGAATTCCAACAGTAACTCTACTTGCACTCGATTTTTTTTGTTAAAATCCATTCTTTTATCCACATTTAACTACTCCACAATAAAGATGAATGTCCAAGGATTCTTTTGAAGCTCTTCGTCAATGAATTTCTTTTCGGGAAGTTTTTTTTTTATTCTAATATTCGGACTATAGTTATGCCGACTACAACTAAAGATGACCGGAGACACAGGGGGACCAAAAGAAGAGAGCATTCTCAAATCTGATTGGCTGATTTCTAACAAAAGGTGATACTCTACTGGGTACATTGCTCAACAATTGTTAACAATTGTTATTTTTTATTCTATCCGAATTTTTTATTTTAATTTTTTTTTTGGAAATTGTTTTACTTAAAAATTATATTTTTAGTTTTTTTTTTTATTCTATAATTTTTTTGAAATTTTTACCTATTTATATTTTGTTCTTTTTTCAAGGAATTTTTGAAATTTTAATGTGAGAACAACAGGCCTCAAAAGTTGAGGCCTTTTTCGGCTTAATTTGACTGGGCTAAAAGAAAGAAAGGTCGAGAATCCAGGCCGCGAATATAATTTCGACGCTATCCAAGTATAATATTCTATGTAAAATCTAATTAATGTCTAAAATAATTATTAAACAGAACCTAAATAAAATCAAGATGACTATAACAACTATATTGTATCTAAAAAAATGTGCACGAGACGAGACTCAAACCCGCGATCTTCTGTTCGACGCCGCTTTCGAGCATCATCTTGTTTTTAAAATTTAACGAACGCAGCTCGTAAATATTGATGAAACAAATTGCTAAGATAAAAATCTATCTTGACTAGAGGACCTCTACTTAGTCGGACTAGCCGAAGGCTAAGTCTACTTATATGTACGTACAAATAATTAAGAAATCACACGGTTTTAGCCTTACTTCATCATCCCTGGTCACACGTCATAATACTACGTCACGAGTATGAGGTATTTTAACTATTCGAAAGGAATCATAGCTACGAAATGAGTATGAAAGCCAAATTTAGAGGTATTTTGCTTTTCACTTTCTATAATTACGGAACATGTTTATATGACGGATCGCTCAGCCATGACTTCCATAATAATCTTCCTTCAAAACGTCTATTTTTTCGTCTGTAAGAATATAAACTATCTTGAATAAACTGCGAAGTCGTCAACTTTTACCATTTGTTGTAAAAAATAGAAAACATTTTGCAACAAGTAAAGGAATAATTAAAAATTGTATTTTGTTTTTTGAGTTCTGGTCAGTGGATAAATTAATTCATACATCCACAGAATGTGTACACTAAGCATATTTTTCTTAAATCAAAGCAAATAAAACTCACGCGAATAACGGTTTAGCTCTCGTCTCAAGATGGCAACGCAGGATAGTAATCTAAAGAGAGAATCAAAGCTTGGATTGGTTTTGCTGTTTGCGATTCTATTGATTTCTATAGCAGCCTTTGTTTTGGCTGTAGTTATCCTGGCAAAGTTAGGATCAGCTTGCTCTTGCGATAACACAGGTTAATACTTGTTTAATATATTCTCTGATAACATATGAATAAGAAAGATAGATTATAGTTTATACCTTGAATCATACAATTTTGTTTCATTTATCGTAGTTCAAGCTACAGTCAGAAAGTTGAAGGTTGTCAACTATGGAAACCTGTCCGTTTTACGTATAGATTAGAGATTACTCTGATGTTTAAACAATGCATTTAGTTTATAATAGCAAGCTTAGTATTAGATACCATCCATCCATTTTTGGATTCTTGACATGGAAAATTGTGCTAGACCTTCATCATTTAGGTTTTTTAGTCATTCGGAGCGGATTTGATTACACTGGACTTTCACTTTGCGAGTCGCGAACGTGTCGTGACGTCTCCGTGTTATGATCCGTGTCTTTGCACTGTCATACGAATTACGCTCTATATAATTAATTGCCCCAGGGTAGTACCCCAAACATTGTTTAAAGAAATTCTACTTTTGTCTATATAATAGCTAAAATGGAATTAATTAAGTGCTACATAATTTGATGATACACTTCTCACATCCCAACAATAACGTTTTTGTGTAAGCTTCTATGTTTTATCACTAACCATTGCAGCCTATGTTCTGACAGTGTTATAACTGTTCTATTTATAATAAACATAATTCGATATTACTTATATACATATGTGCTCAATTGAAAGGGAGTCCATCTACACTTCAGGTTCACGAAAATCAAAAGAATAATATGTTAGAAGTGGAGACAAAGCTGGTGAGTCGCAAAGTCATTCGGTATAGCTAAGTGAAGATGAGAAGATGTCCAAATAATGCTACAACGGTAGCATGGACTTGCAGGGGAGATCCAGGGAGGGGGATTGGGGGTACTCCCCCCCTCCTCCACAAAAACTCTTTACTTCTATTAAATGCAAATATTAGAATGGACAGCACAAAAGGGGGTTAAAGAATTAAGACTTTTTTGATGCAGCGAGTGAATTAATCAGTGCGTCTTTTGGAAGACGGGATTTTTCAGCTAGATGCAAGACCCCTTTGTGATGCACTCTCTCATCTTACAAACGTTGACAAAATCCTAGGACCATTCCAGCGAATTTCCTCATTTTAATCAACACTCGAAGACAATTTCATCCCCCCTGACCCTCTTAATGCAATGTTGTCATTCAGTATGTTAGCATAGTGCACGAGCATCCGAAACAAAAGACCCAACATTGATGATAGGGGGCTAAGGGGGGAAACTGTAAAAAAATATAGAACAAAAATGTTAGGCTGGAGACAAATAATTATACGGTCTAAGGTATTTTGGCAACGATTGTAGCCAATGCACAGCACGCAAGACGCAAATCAACCAATGCTACGCAGATGAACAACAACGCCCATTGACCGTCATGCACCTGGACAATAGACCCAAACACAACGCTCGAAGTTTCCTTTTTTCTTGGTAATAAAAGCCGAAATTACGTGCTGATCAAAAAAGCTGACGTTGATTGATGACCTTGCTTGCAGTCAGGACAATGATGAGAAGGGACAGCACAAAAGGAGGCTAAAGAATTAAGACCCTTTTGATGCAGCCAGTCAAATAATTGCCTCTTTTGGAAGACTGGATTTTCCCGCTAGACACAAGACCCCTTTTGTGATGTACTCTCTCATATATATATTAAGATATTTTTGATCTTTTTCGCCATTCATTTTTATTTTTAGATAAGACTACGTACGCAGAATCGCAGTCTAAATGCTCAGAAAACGTTTCTAAGGGTATACATCAGAAAAAAAAGAATGTAACGAAAATATTTGGAAATTGATTTCCACCACGAACCCCTCGTTAAAATAATTGTGGATACGCCACTGACTTGCCTTTATGAGCATAAAAGTTTATTGAAATTGACTTTAGAATAGTTTCTTGGAATCCTTTAAGTAAACTGTGCACAATGAGGTTTATTTTCATTTCTGAGGGATTTTCCCAGTAAAAGTCGAAATGTTTGAGTGGCCAGTGGGTACTTCCACATGCGTTGCTAGACCGGACCTATGGGTTAAGGCCGGCATAAATAGCCTGTACACGAATTTTAAAAGGTTAACATATGAACGTCACATGCGCTAAAGGATTAAAACAATTGTTTTAACAATTTCAGAACAAAACGATATCATATTTACAAAATGATTTGAATGACGCAAAAAATCAAATCCAAGCCCTACAAAGAGACAATTTAAATGCAGCATTATGGCGTCAGTCCAATGAAACGAGGGACAAACTTAGACAGCACGAGGAGACCCATGATACTATGTATCAACATGTAAACTAACAGCTATACCTAATGCTGACTGATCAGTATTTATGGACTTCCTGACTTTCATAAAATAATTATGCTGCATATTAATATTACATTATTTTGTATTTATTATGGCCATGAAATATCTTTAAAAAATACCAAATTGTGACAATGGATTTGTTTATTGCTGCTTCACACGATTTTGTTAGCTCATTGTTGCACATGATGATTTATAGCGGAGCACCATAGCTAAGAAAAAATGGTAATCCATCGAGTCCATTTCTCATGGACCGACACAGGAATCACGGTGTACGTACGTTTCCGCACTCCTTCCTTCCGTCCGTGTACCACCACAGGAAATCCATACTCCGCGCGAAAAGGAAGAAAAAAACGGCTAAATATTTGTTGAATATCGATTTTTTTTCCTCAAACACTTATCTTTCATATTGGTAATATTAGAAAAATTAAAWAAAAGCAAAAAAAAAAAAAAAAATAATAAGATAAATGAATAAAATCACAGGATAGCGAAATGAAAGTCGACATTTCCCGCCAATTTTGTCATAAACTACGACGCTTGTGCACATCGATTAGTGAGCGGTGAAAAGTAATTTACTTTCTTCAATGATTCCTCAAGCGTAGTGACATTTCGGCAGCAGGAAAAAGATGGTGCCATATTGGAAATATTGAACAAAATATTGGAAAAAAACAGCGATATATATTATTTTTTTACGCCGAAAAGCGTGGACACTTTGAAACCAAGATTATTCCAGCAGAACTCGATTGGGAGATATTTAAAAAAACAAAGATCGACAAAAAATGACAGCCTTTAGTGACTTTATAAATTGATAAAACTTGAGTTAAATAAGTTTGGTGATGATATTTTTGAATCGGATAATTAAGGCGAGTTTGCCATTGGATGCCTCATCGTTTGGTTATAGTTTACCGACAAAATTTACTGTCCATAGCATTTTCTCTGTATTTGAGAGAGGAACATTTATCGGAAGCTCAAAAATGAAGGTAAAACAATTACGCAAGATATTCTTTTACAATTTGCTGTGATTCAGTGAAGTTCGAGTAGCGTCCAATGAGGGTTCAACCGATATCAATCATTTGCCTCGTCTATCCTAAATCTCATTCAATGCTTTTATGCAGACTATTGGCAATTGATACATACAGATTGACTGTAAGTTATAATAAGTTCGTCCAACTGAACAAAATGTATCAAAATCAATTAATTCAGAGTACGAAATTCTTATTAACTTACTCTTTCATTTTATATTTTCGAAGTAACTATATGGTAATTTAATTTAAGTATTTGTTCGCATGTCAACAAAAGATGTGTTTACATTCCTTGAAACAGCGTACATCTACTAGGGCTATCCTTGAAATATTAGTAAACACCAAATGCATTCTTAAAACAACACTATGAATTGTGCAGTTAGTTAGCTTTGTTCTCATTTTTTCTCGCGTATATTTTATCACAGATGGCGGAAGCAATTAAAGACACAGTCGAAAAATGCAGAGATACATGTAGTAATAGGAATTTGACGCAAAGACTGGAAATTCTTGAGAATGAACAACACAATGTTGCGAATCGGTTACAGAAGAACATCAACGAYTCCAACGACAAGTGCATGAGCGTAAACTACACCCTGACTGTCAAGGTAAGAAAACCGATGCTTTACCGAYGKTTTAGAGACGGTTTAAGGAGTTTTACATACCGATACTATACCGATCAACACCATGCTTCGAGAGAAGACRGACACCAGTACAAGGAAAACAAATTAAATTCTCCGAGTACCTTCTCTGTACAGTTAAAAAACTCATGCATAATTAATGAGCTACTAGGCCAATAGAATGAGCCTATTTGGTCACATGCATGTACCTTTATCAGTCYGGAACATTACCAATTTTGGTAATWTAATTTCCATCGCAAAATGRCGGCCATCAGCTTTCTTCGAGCCCTTTCCATTTTAGCCCCCAATATTCAAATAAAGGTCCATTCCCATGAACCTTTGCCCGTCAAGGCTTTCTTACATAACAAACGACGCCATAGCTGTGAAGTATTGTTCAAGACACGTGTAAACTTTCAAAATATTCGAGTTTTTATGCTGCTTTTTTTCGCTTTTTCGACTGGTTTTACCTACTAAAACGAATTTTAAAGTATCTTTGYCCATMAGCCTTATTAATTGTTCAAYTGATAGACTTCATGTGAGTAGATTAGGATTTTTATTTGTAAYATTTACTTGATGAGCAACAACAAACAAAAACCTTTTGCTCGACGATATCAAAACAAAATACGAGCGTTATCAAATTTGATAATATTCAGGAATCCAATCAATAGAAACACCAAACGTATACAAAAAGAAGAGACTTCCACATGATATGTTGCGGCATTCAAGAGGAATGTATGTATTGCGTGATGATTGATGGTTGCCATGAACGCGAATGTGTTCTCTTCTGTGATTGGTTAAAATCTGTGTTTACAAAATGTTAACAAAACTGGTAATGTTCCGGACTGTACGTTTATATCTGATAAAACACTCCTTATTAGTATTCTTTATATAAAGAATACTAATAAGGGTGACCTTTATCAGATATAAAGGGCCATGACACTAGCAAAGGTCTCAGGTTTGAAACCTGATCATTGACCAATGCAGGATGTCAACCGATTTCAGTGAACAGCCAAGAGCGGTTCTATTTTAAGTTATGTGTATTCAATGTGGGATGACAAGAGTGCTTTGTGATTTGCGCATGATCAGTTTGCCCCATTTATCTCTGAACATATTTGTACGGCAATTTCTCCAAGAATTTTAACAGATTTGAGTTTCAAATTAGTGTTGGAGTTTTTTTAAGCCGTTTAAAACACTCGAGATCGTGTTTTAAACTATACTTATAGCTACAGCAATTGATATCACTTGAGTAATGCTTGTTGGATTATCATGATTGTTGTCATAGATCAATGAGGTATCTAAGATGGAGGGACCTATGGGACCACGTGGTTACAATGGTAGTCAAGGAATACAGGGTGAAAAAGGCGACAAGGGAGATGCTGGAGCAGTGGGGCAGCAAGGACCTTCAGGGGCTGGGAATCTGACGCAGTGTGTTGTGAAGTTTGATCAATCCAATGGCGCTAACGTAGGCAACTCGGCAAATCAAGTGATAGAAGTAACGGCAGAAACGGTACGTGTACTGCGAAGAATTGTCAGTTCGATATTTTTGGAAAGAAAGCACTATCTTACTTTTAGTCCGGCCTTCATGTCCAAATACATATTAAGATCTCCACTGATATCCCCTGCATAAATACACCATCCATATTGATTAATTATAATACTGGACAAATCTAGACTTGTTTATAAATAGCAAATGTTTTTCGTTTCAGGGAAAAAAGATTTTGCATTATTCTTGCTCTTCAAACAACGCAGACATCGTTCAAAGACTATATAGAGTCAATAACAACAAGAATTACTACTCATGTTTGTGTTTAGGGCAAGGAACCTACTCATATTCAACCATTCCAGGAACTGGTATAATTGAACCTGCGAAAATGTTTTGTTACATAACTTACACAGAATGTCCGCTGATATCTTAAAAGCAAAAATGATATCATGTCAAATAATTGTATGTCATTCGTGCGGGATCCCTGTTTCTGGGTGATTTGAGAAAATGCGACTAGCCAATCAGCGCAAAGCTGACAAGCTTATGTTGTAAACATAACCCCCCGACGGGAGGAATTTGCACAGCAAAACTCGACCCAGTGGAGTAGGCTGCCTGTCATTTTATTCTATCCGAAAAATCGAAGCTAAAACGCAAAGAGAAATTGAAAATCTTTATAAAATAGCTTTTAAATGTCAATCAAATATTTATCGTTATAGAAAGAGAATTTTATCTTAAAAATGAAAAAACAAATAACTTTTTCTTTAATACCACGAGACTCCCCTCCCTGATAGAAATAATTGTTCTGTGTTCTACGCGGGTTCTCCATTGCATGCGAAGCAATGACCGACTTCACGAAGACTTCAGAAGGTCGTTGAAGCGACGTTCAAGTCCAATGTATCTTAGGAGGAACCATTGCAAATCATTTTTCTTAGCTCTTGTTTCCTCTAAGCTTTGAGGTATCTACAACATCACTGGAAGAGCTAGAGCAGCTTAGGTCCACGTATTCCAATAGAGTTAAAGCGTTTGTTATTTTTGGTACAAACAACGGTCGTAGTTCATTCTTTGTCGCATTTTCGGCAATAAGCCGCAAGCGTGCTCGACGATTTGACGTTATGTAACAGGCCAGTTACACATTTACTAGCTCTGACCTTACAACGAGAGCTAGAACGGTGACTGGGGTTTTTCGTGTAATGTCTTGATAGCGACTGTTTATGTCGAAACGACTCAAAACAAAATTCCATCGTGAAAAAAGTTCGACTAAATTCCCTTCTGAAAAACACGTGTGTATTTAAGGTGGAAAATGTTTCATATGAGCATTCAATTCTTAAAGGTTTAATTCTATAATCATTTTGTTTAGTTATGTAAATAAATTTAACACGACTTGTACTGTTTATCTGAGTGAAAGGCGAGATGCGGGTTTTTCCTTTCTTTTACACTTTCAAATATGACCGCTTAACAAAAATGCACGGGCTCACTGGCTTACAACCTTGGCGAATTCATATGCAGGCCTGGTCGCAAATAAATCACCCAGTTATTTCGAGTCTATGCCACTATGGAAACAAACAAAATGGCCGATTGTTCAGAAATGCTTTCGACACACACCTTAACCATAATGGCCGCCATCCAATTAACATAAACTTTTAAAATTTAGAATTTTAGTGAGAGTAAACTAACAGCTGATAGGAACCTGTGCTGATAACAACATTTTTTAAAACGTTCGAAAAACGTTTATTTCTGATAGTTCTTTGATGTCACAGTGTTAGAATGCAAGTCACATAAGCTTGAAACAATTCTTMACTATGTAGTGCTAAATAAGAATTAGTTATCAACTAACTAAGAATTGAGAACAATGGTACAAAAGAATTTAAATAGTTGGCATTGTGTTTATGCTTTGTTGAATTCTTAGTTAGTTGATAAATAAATCTTATTTAGCAATACATATTAAGAATTGTTTCAAGCTTATGTGACGTGTACTCTAATATTTATTTAATATCTATTTGATATCGGAAAAATACAATTGCAGCCAYTATGGTAAAGGTGTATAATATCTGGAGGTTTCAGRCGATTTGAATCTTTAAAAATTTAGAAATTCGTCAAAAACCGGTCTACACTTACTGGCAAACGAAGGACAACTTKTCAGAGGCAATTCTTTGATATATGGATATTCCAGAAAYTCGATCAATGAACGTTAAAAAATACCGCGTTTTAATTGATAATTAAATTTTCTTGAAAAAGCCGTTCTAGTAAAACAATCCTTTAGTACACATATCGTTTGGGATACAACRAAGACGCAGAGCTCCATCATCACATAAAAAAGTGAATGACTATTGGAATCTAATAATTTGTATACTCAAATAATTGAAAAAMATTGCGCACACCACATGTACAATTGCATAGAAATACTTTAATTTGTCAAACTATATTTTTAATTTATACTTCATAACTCGCTATTTTGCATGCCTCTTYATTATCTTTTTGGTGTGCACGATATAACCCTTTGACTATATATATCACTCAGTTTAACGGGTTCAGTAAAAATCCACTCCACTAGACCACTCTTTGTCACTTGCATTTATTCGAACTTCTACATTACGTTTGTAAATAAATTGAAATATAACACGTTGAAATCGCTAATTAGYGTTTAGGTTATTGTTATTAATTCAAGATTGAAGTTCCATGTAAGAATGATACTGAATATACCAACGAATCAGTATGAAGAATTCGCGAAACTAATGGTTATACATCTTGGTGTCTACTGTTTTCCTGAGTATAAACCAAGTCATTAGGTTTTCAAATACGAATTATAACTCTATTAACTATTATAAAAATTAACACCTATAACAGCGGAGATTCAATAGAGAATGATTACTTAGTACAACTATTTCAAAGATAGCCTTTTTTAGTAGAAGTACGCTATTACAGTAAAGTAAAAACGACATCTTTTGTTGATATGCGGAGCAAATATTATAAACATATCTATTAACGTGTCCAGGCGGAAGGCCTGCGGCACGATTATTAAATGCAGCGACTTTATTATTTTTATTTTTTTTTTCTACGTYGCCGTTTAGCAATCCTAAGGGACCCATAATCCCCTCCTTTCAGAGCCCAAAAAGGGCGAAAACCATAGATCTATATGACATCATGTTGACATCATGGTATGTAAGGACCCCCCACCCCTCAAAAAAATCCTGGATACGCCCATGGGTGTGTAGAAAAGATTAGATACTACCTTTTCACCTTTTGCCAATAATGGGGAGTATTAACGATAAGATATATACTGCAACCACACGTGTTCAATACATATCGACATTTACATGGTATACGTAGAAATTTCCACTATGGAGAAAAAAAATGAAAATAGAAAACACCATAGAAAACACCCTWAGTATTGATTAACTCGTTGACGTGCGTGGATAMTTTGTTGATTTTCAAGCATTTTTTTCGATCCAAAACATTAAAAATTATTTTGACCTCCATATATGGAGCTGTCAATTGAAATTTTGTTGAATCAAACTCCCTAGGGAATGCACATNCTTGAAGATAAAATTCATATCTTCAAGTGACAGCTGTAATGTTCTGTTTATTAAATGACATTGGTGTAAGCAAAAGTGTGTAACATTTTCATTATAAGATCAAAAATTTTGAACATTTCAAGAACATATTAATTATTAATTTATGATTTATGCATGATTGAATAATACCAAAACTGTCAAAAGGCATTTATATTATTTTATGATTCCTGTAAAGATTGAAAAATACCAACTATTAAGAATTTACAAAAAAAATTCCAAACAATTTCAATCTATTGACATATAAAGATGCATTTGTTATTATTTTTATTACCGTATTTCTGCATGATTGAAAAATTTCAACTGTCAAAATGCATTTAACAATAAATATAAATCCTGTATGATTGAAAAGTCAAAGTTTCAATTTATGATTTCTGTAATATTAGAGTACAAACATTAAATGTGTGCTATACTTTCCACTATTTAGTACAAAATTATGTTAATTAAACAATAGAATTAGCATAATTTAGCAGTATTTAGTGGTATTTATGTTGCACAGTTTTAATGTTTGTACTCTATCTAAAGAAGTTTTATAATTATTTAATGTAGTTCAATGGAATTTTTTTGTTAGAAAAAATAAATTAGTCTTGACAAAACATGTACTAAAAATCTGACCAATGTGTCTTGCATCCCATCTTTATCCAACATGCATATCTTTTGGGAGCTCCGCTATTAGGTTTTACCTAATTTTTATATTAATGCTGTCCAAAGTGGTTCAAGGATGTTGTTTATTTGTTCGAAAAAGCTCAAACATGAATGTATTGACAAGAAGAGAGATTGTTTTAAACAGTCAGATACTTTTTTATCATATAATTATCAATGACTGGAAATATCCGGACAGGTGAAATACCTTTATTATATTACGTCGTAATACAGCCTTTTGCACAAATTATGAGACATTTTTATATATATAAATATACCTAACCAAATATCAAAAACACCCAAGAAATTATGGGATACCGTCGCTGATATTTTGTCTGTAACAACCTGATGCTAGGCAATCATGGCAAAATATCAGCGACGGTATCCCATAATTTCTTGGGTGTTTTTGATATTTGGTTAGGTATATTTATATATATAAAAATGTCTCATAATTTGTGCAAAAGGCTGTACATGTATACGTTACAAATAACTATATCACTTGCGTGCATATACTTATACTTCATATGTATAGTAAAAATATAGAATTTTTGTGTTGATTTTAAATATGAAGTGTCTAAATTCAAATAAAAAGCGCAGCGGAATGATAGATAAGAACAGAATTATCAATGATTTTTAGGTCTTGCATAAAGATAGAAAAGATGAACTGTGCATAAACATTAATAATATACCTATATATACATGATATCAAAGAGGCAAGATTTTGCTGTTACTCCGAGTTTCGTGCTATGCACTCATCAGACAGTATTTAATGGGATCAGCTACTTCCTCATACGATTATAATAATATACCTATAWAGTATAATGCAGGGAATATATTTCGCCCATGGAATTCCTGTTTCCTACTTTTTTTATATTTTTGCTACTCATAATTGAGTTGCAAGACTTATAGTAAAGACGTTTAGAGTGTATCTGGTGATTTTGGATATGACTAGAGAGATTTATAATAAGAAAAACGCCAACTTCYGGTTGCCAGCCTCATTTTCATGCTAGTAAAAACTATGGCGTAAAATAWAGGCCATTTTTCGAACTGTTCCCCAACTTCGATTTTATATGATTTTTAAGTAATATATACAATATGAGCGGGCGATCTGTATGAGGATTTAAAACAGCGAGCTGAAAGTGAGCTACGCTCGTGTTCCTAAACTTGCTTCTCTCGTGTTTTTCAAAAGTTTTATATTTCTTAAATACAGGATGGTTCCCTG